CCTACCCCATACCTAAACTTAACAACTACCTTACTAACTATTAATGAGCATCAAATTAGGAGTTTATTGAGGCAAAAGTCGTAGTTAGTGGTTTATTAATAGCGAGAATTGGAGCTTAAAATAAAGTGAGACCGATATATATATATTTAATGTACAGTATTTAGTTTCTGCCTATTTTCTTTAAACAACTTTATTTGTCATAAAAACTTTTCATTGGTTGAATTTTTGATGTATTCAAAACATAAAGACAAAATAAAAACCAAAGGCAAGATAAAGTGAGCATTAGCCAGCGAAGGAGAGAATCAGAGTGCTACTTTTTTTGCAGAGAGAGAAAGAGAGCGAGCGAATTAGAACTTGATTTAGTGGCTCATAATTTGAATGATAGATTTCTCTCTGCTCTACTGAAGGGAACAGCGGGTGTCCGGGCTGTTATAAAGCGAGGGGTGATTTTGTAGTTCCTGGTGCGCCATATTGTCTGCCAGTGTTCAAAGTGCTAATTAAATCATTAGGACACATCTGTATTTATTAATACGGCACTTGGGGCTGCCACAGACAAGAAAAGACTTGCAACTGTTGCGTTCTGTTATACTGAAAGCATTTGCATGAACACAAACTCCTATTATACGTACATTGAGAAGATTGTTGTAATATACACAATCTTCTCAATGTACAATGTATGTTAGTGTGTACAATATACACACTAACACTCTGACATAACAATTTTCACTTTTACAATTACACAGTGACTCGCACTTTCACTTGCACGCATCTCTAAAAAAAGACACGTGTCCGCACACACACAAGAACACGCACTCTCAGGTTTCATGATCTCAGTACATCATGTTTCAGTAAGCATATTAACCGGTGCAGATGAGATACTCTCTCATGTTATTAATCATGCAGTGCTGTCAGCACAGCTGGGGTGCGGGCCTTGTTATCCGTGCTCTCCTGTGTGGGGCTGACTCCACTGCGCTCCGAGACTCTTATCAGACCAATGGATGCGCTATACTTTTATTATTTAGAAAGTGACCAATAATCTGTGATCAATATTTTATATGTAGATTGATTTCTCCTCTCTAAACTGTTTCTCAAGCGCACGCTCTCATCACCGCTGCTGCTGCGTGAATGTGACGCATCACAATACCATGGAGACCGAGGAAAAAGTGGGATTAAAGTCCAAAACCTGACTTGAAATAACCTAACAAATCAATCGGGG